ATGTATATAAATAACCCATATGTTAATTAAGAAATAAATATTTTGAACTGAAGTATAAGAAAGTACCACATAATAAACTTGGAAGACAAAACTAAATCAGTACTTAGAAACATAGAGGCATAAATGAATATGTGAAAAAGGAAAGGCTAAGAATTTACAAGGAGGTACAAACAAGACTGCAAAGGAAATCCAAAAAAAAAAAGCATGTAAAGATAAGAGCAAAAATTAGGGAAATAGCATTCTTAGATATGATCAAGGAAGCCAAAAATTGTTTCTTTAACAAAAATGAAATTGAGCAGCTTGTGTAATTCATCAATTAAAGAAAGAAGGCACAAATAACCAATCTCAGGAATGGAAAAGGTGACATCATTACAGATGCTGCTGCAGACCATGTAAAAATGAAAAGATATTTCAAGCAACTTTGCCAAAAATTTGAAAATTCAATTAAACTATACAACTCCCACAAGAATAACAACTTAACAAAACAGATTCAAGAAGAAACAGAACCTGAATAGTCCCTTATCATTGAAAAAATTGCATTGGATCAAACATCTTTCTTTCCACAAAGAAAACTACGACCCAGAAAGCTTCGCAGGCAAATTCTAGCTTGCATTAAAGGAGAAGATCATTTCAGTAATACACAAACAACTCCAAAAAACAAAAAAATATGCAATACTCTGACTCATTTTATGAGACTAACATAACCTTGAAACCAAAAGTTGAGGACAGTACAAGAAGACAATATCATTGGCTAATCAAAAAATTAAAAAATTTTTAAAAATCATTGGCTAAGCACAAATCCTAAATAAGTATCAAACAATCCAGCAATTTATAAAGAGAATAAAACATCATGACCAAGTTGGGTTTATCTCAGAGATACAAGGACGATTTTNGAGGTGGTAACAGGGCTTTCTTGTGAGGTATGCTTGGGGTGAGACCAGTTCCAAGGGAATAGGGTAAAGGATTAGGTGATTTTCTTTAAAAAGTAATTTAAGACTTAAAACCCTATGAATCTATAACTTCTGAATAGGGCGGGTGAAGGTCAGGAGAGGGGGAACCCTTGTGGTTTGCTTATGACCAATCCCACTGGGTAGTGACGTGGACCCCTGGTAACCCCCAGATTGGACTGGCTCCCCTGGGCCCGCTTCCCGATGCTGCCCATGGCCTTGGCCTCGTGCTGTCTACTGAGGCTTCTCTACGTCCTGCCAACTGACTCCCTAGGGCACAGTTAGATGCCCTCAGGCACCCTTGGATCCCAAAGGTGGCACAAAGAACCCATTGATCCTTTTCCTAGAAAGTGGGGAAGCCAGTGTCCTAAGAAAGCTTGGTTACCATGGAGACCCAATCTGTGGTTTATCCTGTCCATGAATTTAGGGAACAGCCAGGAGACGTGGCCACTTTTGATGTCATGAGCATTGTCATAGATATCCTCAAGCCTGAGCGACTTCCTTCTCATCTAAAGCTAGGCCTTAGCGGGGCAGGCTGCTGAGTACGCTAGTTCAGGGGACTCTGCAGCGAGAAAAAGGTCCTGATAGCCTGAGAACTCTCACCCCACATCCCTGCTCTGGTTCTAGCCAGGACCGAAAGGAGGCCGCTTCCCAGGGGCCTGCCCGGGCTGCCCCCCGCCGCCGTTGTCCCTCCGGCGTTGCCACCTGCCTCCCCACGGCCACCGTGCCCCTGTGGGAGTTCTCTGCAGCAGGAGCTCCACAGCCTCAGCGCCACCCTCTCGGAGAAGTTGGATCAGCTCGCCACAGCCCTGGCAGGTCTGTCTCAGGAAGTGGCCACCCTGAGGACCCAGGTGTCTCGGCTAGGGAGGCGCCCATGGGGCCCTGGGCCAAAGGGCCAGGCTTCCTGGCCACGGGTCCTCCTCCGGGGACCTCACTGGGCTCATGGTCCTGCTAACAGACACCTGCCCTACCGGAGACAGAAGGGCCCCACTAGACTGAAACCAAAGAGCCTACGAGGCCAGGCAGAAGGCTGCAGGGCTGGGGACACCTCCGGCCTCTCCCACGGGACAGCCCACCTGCTGCCTCAATTGTCTCCAGACGCCATCCCGGCAGAACCTCCTGAGTCCAGTTCCAGCCCTTCCCAGCAGCCCCCATACTCAGCATGCAGCCGAGCAATGCTGACTGTGCACCCCCCACTTGGACACACTGGGGGCCACCAGAGCCCCCCTCCCCCTTCAGTGCCTGCTGCCTTTCCCCCCCAGATGGCTTCTCCTGCCACCAGTTCAGATGCAGAGCCACCGGCTGCAGCAGCTGCACCAACTGGGACCCGAAACTGGCCCAAGGATCCAAATGGCCTGTTGGCAGGGGTCCAGAGAGCCCGCAAGGAGGAACTGTGGGGTGGGGAACATCGGAACCTGAGGTGGGGTGCCCCTAACCGCCTTCTTCATCAGCTGAGTCCTGCTGAGAAAGCCTTGCCCCCAGCTGCCTCCCCTAGGGGCTGGCCTGCCCCCTCACCTCACTCCAGCCGAACCTTCCCCGTTTCTGGGCCATGAAGGGCTGGGTGCCCCCCTTGGCCTGACTGCCCGGGTTCCAGGATGCTGTTTATTCACGGGGGCCACCATTTGGGGTGCATTCCTCAGCCACACCTCTGCCTCCTTGGCTCAGGTTCATTCAGACGTCGTTCCCTTCTCATCCTCCCCACCAGAACTGCCAGAGCTGGCAGGCGGGTGGTGACATACACGCGTGTGCACAACACATGTGCCCGAGGCGTCCTGAGCAGCTGCAGAGGCCCCTGAGAGCCCCTCTCCCTGACACCTGCCCTTTCTGATCTCAGCGCTGAGAGGGTGAGGCTCTCGCCTTCCTGGTAAATATGAGCATAGGTTTCATTCGGGGAGAACTCTGCCCCTTGGTCTAGGCTGGATTTTCTTATGTGGCTTCTAGAATTAAAGGACTTGGTTGCCTTGGCTCCACAGAAAGGGCTTGGTGGGGCCACACCAGGATGTGGCTGATTGGTTTGTTACTACTAGGGCCAAGGTGGCTTGGCCGCCTGCCCTCCCGAAACTCAAGAGACCTCAGCAGCCTCCCACAGGGCTGGGGAAGACTGGCTACAACACCAAGTTCCCAGATGACTCTGGGGAAGAGTGGCACACTTATTGTTCCTGGAGCCACAGTAACAAAGTGCCACAGAATGGGCGGCTTAAGCAACAGGCATCCACTCACAGTTCTGGACTCCTTGGCTTGTCGGTGGCCATCTTCACGTTCACATGGCGCTCTGCCTGTGTGTGTGTCTCCAAATTTCTCCTTTGTATAAGGACACCAGCCATACTGGACTAGAGCCCACCCTAATGACCTCATTTTAACTTGACCCATCAGGTCACATTCTTAGGCACTGGGGGTTAGGGCTTCAGTATGAATTTGTGGGGACACTGTTCAACCCATGACACATGTAAGGAACTGGACTAGCCTTGGGTTCATCTTGGGAAAAGAGCATAACCAGGGTGTCTCCAGGCCAGAATGGCTGGCTCTGGGCCCCACCCCTCAGGTGGCATGTGGCAATGTATTGGGAAGCCTGCCTGCCACTTAACCACCTCGTTTCCTTCCCCAGGGTCAGACCTTTCCCCAAAAACTTACGTTCTCACCTGTGTCCTCATTTGATTTGAGGAGTCTTCGGGAAATGTCTGTGTACACTTGTCGCCAGGAAGGACAGGCCTGGCATGGGCTGGCACAGTCAGCTCTGCTATCAGGAAACCTGTGGTGCCATGCTGAGGCCCAGCAGGGGCTGGGGCCATGACTGCACCAGCTGCGCCTTGTGGCTGGTGCTCCTGGTGTGGCTCTAAAACTCGGGTCACAGGATATATAGGGCCTGGGCTGTGCTCTTTGCTGCCCCTATGGAAGCAGCAGGGTGGAGGGGAATGGGACCTACAAGACAGACTGTCACAAGGGGGGTTGGGGGGGTGTTAAACTGTTTTCAAATAAGCAATCCGCACAGCTAGCCATACTCGATAGAAAATAAGGAACAGAAAAGTTCTAGACTTTCCGCTCATGACCTCAGGGAGATGAGTCCAGCTGCTTTTCAAGCTGTGCAGGGAGCAACACTGGACACATTTTAGATCCGGTAGATAGGGTAGGACATGGATTGGAGGGAGGAGAGGGAAGGAGGGACCTCCCCGTGTGCCTCAGTGCTGGAGGGCTGGCAGTGAGGGGACTTCCGTTCACCCCTGCTGGGCCCTCCATCCTGCCTGGCCAGCCTCCATTTTTCCCTCTCACCCGTCTCAACAAGGGTAGTGGGAGATGGTCCACTATCTACCGTTGGCATTTGAAGGTTTGGTGTGGATTTCACAAATACCAGCTCTCATGCAAACCCTGTGCAGCAGGCATGAGAACGTGAGCTCAGAGTGTCACTTGCTCACAGTTGCACAGCCTTTCACTGGCAGAGCCGGGAAGAGCATGGACCTTCCATTGTGGTCTGCAGCCCCGATGCATTACCTCTTTTGCTGGGTACAACTACCCATCCTGCTATGGTGGAGCCAGCCCAGTGCAGGACGTTCAGATCATAAAAAAAAAAAAAAAGTGGAAAAGAAGTAATAAAATGAATGGTAAGATGTCGTGATCTGCAGCCGTTTGTCCCACGGGTCCACTGCTTTGTTTGCCACACAAATCAAAAATGTTTTACAATTGTTAATGGAAAAGCTGCCTAGAATCACTGATTTGGTGAAAAATCTGTATGCAGTTTAGGACACTGAGAGTGTGTCCACTTCCTTCACCTACTTTATGAGGAAATGTCGCTTTGATGGGAGAAACTGAGGGACCTTTTTGAACTCAGGAATTCCAGAGGTCAGGAGGTTGGGGACAGAGAGGCTCTACCTCTGCCTGTCACCATACTGGGAAGGAGCCCGGAGGATGGCTTCTGGCTGACCTGGGCTCAGACCTTCCCTCCTTCCATCAAGGCCCTCCACGTGCTCTATCTGCCACCTGCCAGCCTGAGGCCACTGTAAGGCAAGAAAGAGAAGGTCCCTCTTCAACCGATGGAAATCAGAGTGGACTCCGCACAGTCTCCAGGCCACCCCTGAGGGGCCCAATGGAAGAGGCCGCAATGGGGGTGGGGGGTGCAGGTACCACAATCCACTGCCTGTGATGACACCCCGCGATGTCACTGCTGCCTCCTACAGGAGCTTGGTTCACTGGCCAACCAGACTTTATTTACTCTTGANTGACAGACAGCCAAAGCTCTGGTGGTTTCTCGTCTCACTCTGCCCGTTCTGGCATCAGCAGACTCCCTCAGGAAAGATCATGGCGAAGGCTGTCAGCTCACCTCGGAACAGCTCCTCCCTCTAGAATGGCGGCTCACCGCGTCCCTGTTGCTTCCGTCGTCCTCTGTCACTAGAAATACGATTTTTGTCATTTGGTTTTTCTTCCTAGTCGAACTGCATTACTATTGGTCTTCTTCGACCTACCCTATCATACCTGGTGGCGCGGGCGCCGTTAGCGTGTCCCCTCTTGCAGTAGTGAGGGCAGCCCTGCGACGTTCCGTCCTCAGAGCCGTCCTGGGGGCAAGGCTGGGTGATGGCGCCCCTCCCACGGGTGGAGCTGGGTCCACTGGCAGCGTGCCTGCCGCCAGTCTTCCTCACCACAGCCCACGGACCACGCTTCCATGTAGGTAGCTGAGACAGGCTGGCCCAGCCCGAGCAGGGCCGCCCACAGCCAGGACTGATACGTGCTTGGGGCCAGTTCTCTGTCTGGGTGCCCTGAGCTGCCGTGACAGGTGCCTCCCCCCATGGGCCCAGTTGCCCTGACACAGGACACAGGCACGGATCCTGGGGTTTGCGGAGACCAAGCTCTCACTGTCTAAAATTGCAAATATTCGGTTTTCACAGGAGGCCCAGTGGGAAGCTCCCCACTCCAGGGTCTGGAGAACTGTCTCAGAGAGATACCTGTGCCCAGGTCGCAGCCTGCCTGGGCCTCGTCCTTGGCGGGGGACAGGGTACCACGGAGAGCAGAGCCCAAGAACTGGATGGCAGACAAGGAAGGTAAAACACAGCTGCCCGGGTGTCTGGGAGCAGGAAAAGGCACTTAAGAGTTGGGGCTCACGAGCTGGCGCCCTGGCACTGCCTCCCCCAGCAGCCGGCGGGCCCACATCCACCCTGAGATGAGAAGATGCTCTGCAGACGACCCGGACAGAGTGGTGGGTGGAATCAGGGCAGGGCCCTCTGCTGCCCAAGTCCAGGCCTGAGCTGTGGCCTTGGCAGTGGAGTGTCTTTCAATCCTGACTATGTCGGCCGCGTGTGCCTAGCTGTCCAGCACAGTGGCTGAGCTATGGGGCTCCCAGGAGTTTAGGTCACTGGGTCTGAAGAGATCCTGGAGGATTTGAGTGGCCTCTGGGAACATCTGCAGGGCTGGCGTGTGTCCCATACCTGGAGCTCGTGTGCCCNATGTGAGCATCTCAGTAGGTGCAGGAAGATTATTTGCTGAGAGCCAACATCCATAAATACTCTAAGTAAACTAGGATGAGAAAGGAAATTTCTTCATTTGATAAAGATTATCTACCAAAAAAATAACTTAGAGAAAACATGATACTTAATGGTGACATATTGAAGTGTTCACTCATGCTATTCAGCATTATAGTGGTTTTAACCAGGACAGTAAAGCAAGGAAAAAAGAAGGCATGAAAACCCAAAAAGAAGGAGCAAAAGAATCATTACAAGGGATATGACTATACACATAGACAATTGAATGGAATCTATGGATAAACTATTAAAATTTTAAAAATGTTTTAAATTAAAATTTTTCATGTGTAGTAACAAAAAAATCCCAGAATCTAGGAATAAATCAGAAAAGATTTATATGGAGAAAACTCGTGAGCACATTTTAATAGATTGCCTCACTGCTTATCCCTCATAACAATTTTGGTCTGCGTAGATGTTAGTATTACTATTACCATCCTTATTTTACAAATGAGGAAACTGAAGCACAGAGAAGTTAATAAAATTGCTCCAGGTCACACAGCCAGTAGGGGCTTGAGGCGCAGTCGGAACTGGGGCAATTGGCTTCAAAGTGAGGCCTTAAAACATGCAGAGCAAGAGCACACTGGAAGCTGCACCTTCAAGGTACATTTGTGGAGTTTGAGGCAATTCAGGAAGGAAGAAAAAAGTTGATTATTTTTAAAATTACTAGTCTGCTACACTTATTCGTATGTTTTTTGTTGAATGTCTGTTCCCTGCCCCTGTGGTAAGCTCTATGAATGAGGGCAGATATGTATTGTATCTGCACCAGCGCTGGGTCAGGAACAGAGTAGGGGGTTCAATAAACATGAACCAAATATCTGAATGACGCGTGCATCTGGACTTGAGACACCAGAGAGTGAGGCTGCTGGAATAAACTTATCAAAATTTCCCAAGTGTTCATAGAACCCTTGGATTCTCATTGCAACTGCGAGCTAATTAACCAGTGACACCTGGGGCACCAGGCTGCCCAGGCTGGAAGGAAGTTCGGAACATATTCTTTCCTAGTCCTGGAGCATCTGTGTCTGCCCGGCACATCTGAAACTCCACCCTCTCCATTTAAAACGTCCAGGTGTTGGTGGTGACCTGGAGTTGGCCTTGAAGGTGCCGAAGGACAATAACCTAGCAGTGGTCCTCTTCCCTGTATGCACATTGGGATCACTTGAAAAAGGTTTGGGCCCTATTTACACATATCAGGTTCAGGCCCTATTTACACAGATTCTAATTCAACTGGTCTCAAGTGGGGCCCAGCCTTGGTGTCTGCCTATCTATCTATCTATCGATCTATCTATCTATCATCATTATATATATATATATATCTAGCCACATATACTCTGTTGATACATAAATGTACAGAAAAGTACACATACCCATTGTTATATTTTTAAATTTCCAGGAGATTCTAATGCGTTGAAAACCATTCTCGTTGGCAAAACTGTAGAACACTCAAAATGGGCTTTTCCCACTGTCTCCCTTCAGCCTTTCTCCCTGCTTACCACACAATGCTTTCCTGCATCTCCCCTCAACCAGCAACATCTCATGCGTTGATTTCATTCCAAAAAGACGTACAGAGTGACGTTCCCATGCCAGGAGCCCCAGGCGTGCTCATGCACCTTCACCAGGTAACTGAAGTTCACAGTAATGGGACATGTGACATGGGATGGGAAGAGGGACAGCAGACCCCTAGAGATAGGTAGGTAGGGATCTCAGGAGAAGGAATGGTGAGTGTGAGGTCAAAGCCCCCTCCAGTTGGGGGTCGGTGTCCCCAGCTGAGAATCATCTGACTGGACTTTTCCTCACCTCCCCACCCCCCCCAATAATGAGGCTTATCTGCTCTGAGTCCAGATCCCTTAGGAAATCCTCACCTAAGGATTAATAAATTAATCCATTCTATTAGGCTACCTACCCGCTCCCAAGAACCTGCATTTTACCAGAAAATTTCAGTTGATTTTCAGGCTGTTGTGAGCAGAAAAGGAGGCTCTTCTGAGAGCCCCCTTGGGAGAGCTTCAAACAGAGACAGGAGCACTTGAGCTAGAGCCCTTGGTGGCATGTCTCTATGTCAAGGGCCAAAGGGCACCTGCCCCGCTCTTCGCATCCCCTACCGTTCCAGGCTTCGACACCTGGCATGAGAAAGGTGGGCTAATGTTTCTTCCTCATCAAATTTCTGAGCTAGAAGCAGGGAGCAGCGCTGTGGTTTGGCAATTAGCTGTATTATATTTTGATTTGGTAGAGCGATTACCAGCTGCTGGCTAAATGGAATTCACCCAGGAGAGAAGTGAGTTGTCCTCTGTGTGTGGATTAGAGTAAGGGGTTCTCTCCCCAACTCATTTAACAGCCCCAGAACCTTCAGATTTTAATGACATTGTAGTAAGTACACAGATAACCATTCTCTCCCTCCCCCTGTAGAGGTTCCTAACTTGGCCAGGGGTGGTCCAGAAAAGATCTGCTCTCTGGTGGGTTCTCTTGGTGGGAGCCTTGCAAGGACTCAGGCCTGAACTGTTCCCAGCAAGGTTTCACTCAGCATTGTCTTGGCCATAGAATGTCAAAGCTCGTTCGTTGTCCTTTCCAGACTTGTCCCCAGCAAGATGGAGAGGGTAGGAAAATGGCCTACAGGCCATCCTGCAGGAGTCCAGGGGTCACCGTTCTCACCCACTTGGCCTGGGTCTCTCCAACCAGGGAGCAACAGGAGGCAAAGGAAGGTGCTCAGAAGAAGAGCGGGGGCGCTGCCACCTCCGTGGGAGTGGGCCAGGCTGGGGCCGGGAGGTCAGCGTCGGAGGCCAGGTGGGCGCCTTCGCGGTGGATGCGCTGGTGCCGCACCAGGTGGGTCTTGCGGCTGAAGCTCTTGCCGCACTGCGAGCAGGAGAAGGGACGGGAGCCCGTGTGGATGGCCTGGTGGCGAACCAGGTTGGTTTTGGAGCTGAAGCTGCGGGCGCAGACGGCACAGGCGTGGGGCCGACTGCCAGTGTGCACTGCCTGGTGGCGGCCGAGGTGAGACTTGCGGCTGAAGCGGCGACCGCACTGCGCACAAGCGAAAGGCCTGGCGCCACTGTGGGCCCTAGAATGGGCGACTAGATTGGGCCGCGAGCCGAAACGACGGCCACACTGCGCGCAGGCGAAAGGCCGTTCGCCTGTGTGCACCCGCCGGTGCCGTGCCAGGTGCTGCCCGTGGGAAAAGCCGCGCCCGCAGTCCGGGCAGAAGAAGGACCTCTCGCTCGCGGGAGTGCCCTGGGGCGCCGGTGTGCTTCGGTGCGCGCAGGCCAAGGGCTCGGCAGCGGCAGGGTCCACCGTGGCACCCAGGGCGCACTCGTCGCACCCAAAGGGACGCCCCTCGCTGCGGTGCAGACGCTGGTGCGTGGCCAGGTTCTTCTTCCAGCCAAAGCTCAGGCCGCAGTCGGAGCAGGTGGAAGGCTTAGGCCCGGGAGGGGACGGGGTCAGAGACGAGGCAGGGGAACCGGGAGAAGCGGGTGCGTCAGGAGAGGGCGGGGCGCGGGCGGCCAACTCGTGGACCCTTTGGTGCCGCACCAAGTGCTGCTTGTGCGTGAAGCTGCGTGTGCACTGCGCACACTGGTAGGGCCTCTCGCCCGTGTGGATGCGCTGGTGGCGGATCAGGTGCGTCTTTTTGCGAAAGCGCTTCTCGCACTCGGTGCAGGGGAAGGGCCGCTCGCCGGTGTGCGTCTTCTGGTGCGACCCCAGGTGAATCTTCTGGCTGAAGCGCTTGCCGCACTCAGCACACGGATAGGGCCGCTCGCCAGTGTGCGTGCGCAGGTGGCGGGTCAGGTGGGCCTTCTTGCTGAAGCGCTTGTCGCACTCAGAGCAAGGGAACGGTCGCTCACCGCGGTGGCTGCGCTGGTGCAGCAGCATGTGCGCGCGCTGCGTGAAGCTGCGACCGCAGTCTGGACAGGCGCAGGGGCCCTCGCCACGGTGCAGCCTCTGGTGCAGCCGCAAGGTCAGCTGGTCCCGGAATCGCCTCTCGCACTCCCCGCAGCCATAGGGCTTCTCTAAGGCCGGGACCCAGCCGGCCAGCGCGAACGCACCCAGTGTCCCTGGGACTCCCGGCTCCAGTTTATACGTGGCGGCCAGAGGCCCCAGGTCAGGCGCGGGAAAGGATACAGGGAGTAATGGCAGGTGCTGGGGCCATTCGACCTCCCCTTCTGCCTCCTGTTCTTCCTTCTCCACCTTCACCTTCCGAATCATCCACTCGTGCCCTGAAAAGTCAAAACAAGCCAAATCTATTAAGCCCCACGTTTATGTGCCAATAGGACCGCCACTTCCTGGAGCCCTGGAGTCTGGCTTCCGCTCTCTCCACTCTACTGGCAGGTTCCTGAGAAGGACCAAATCTGAAGATTCCTCTCAGTCCTCCTCCTTTTCTCTCTGCAGCAGGGACGCTGGTGACCCGCTTCTTGGTGCCTTTCTCCCAGGCTTGGGCATGTCTCTGAGGGTGCTTTCCCTGCCTCAGAATAAACGCTGCTCAAGGCTCAGGTCTCAGGCTGCACTCTGGGTTCATATGCCCAGGGTGGCTTCCCCAGATCTTCCTGTCCAGCAGGCTCCTTTCTGGAACCAGTCTCTCATCTCCAGTTGAGCAGCTCCCCTCCCATGTCCCCAGATTGGCTGCAGCTCATTAGCTTATCAACAAACGGCTGCCCTTCCCAGACCTAGCCCGCTGACTTCGGTATGAGGACCCGCAGCCTCCTTCTCCCAATTGCTGGGCTCAAACCTTGGAATCTTGATTCTCATCTTTGAGCTCCCCTCCCCAACTCCCCCTAGTGGACCTTTGTATTGTTTCCTGCTGTCTCTCAAAGACCTTGGTGCCTCCTCCTCCCCTCCACCACCACCACCACCACACTACTCCCTTCATTCTTGCTTCTACAGCCAGGTGGGAACTCCCAGTTTAGCAAGAGGAGGATGGAGTGTACAGGGATCCAATGAATGGAGCCAACCCCTGGAGAAGCAGGGAGGCAGCAGGTTTGAGGTGGGTTTTCCTGGAGCTTGGCTTCTCTAGGGCACTGGAATGGCCCAGCTAAGAGGAAGGATCTCGAGGTCCAGACCCATCACTTGGGTTCTCCTCCGCCACAGACCACTAGCCAGCAGTGTGACCTTGGTTAACAGTACTTCTTTGCTACCTCTTTGAGCAAAGTTCGTTAGTTTGCTTAGGTGTAAAAGTTGGATTAGTTCATGGTTCTTAAACCTGGTGCTGCATTATAATCTCCTGGGGAACTTTTACAGAACACGTCTATGGGAGGAGGGTGCATGACCTGTTCTCTTCCATTAAAGCTCCTACAGTGATTCTTGTTTGAGAACCATTGAACTAAATGATCTGAGTTTCTGTCTGGTTCTAAAAGTCTGTGACAGCCCGAGCCGTGGTTACATTACACACGGACTGCCACAGTTATATTCACTCTCACTCTCTTTTCCAGCTCTATCAGTTCCAAACAACCATCAATCCTATTGTGATACTGCTTTCGTTTTCATTGAGCCACTCTTCTACTCAAACATCAATAGTTCCCTAATATTTACAGGGTAAACTAACTTTCAGCTAGCTACATCTGAGGTTCACCCCAACCGAGTCCAACTTTCTTAGTACTCCCAGGCATAAGTCCTTCACTTCACCAAGCTGATCTGCTGTAACCCCAGTCAACATGTCATCTTTCCTGCCTCAAAGTCTTTTCTCAGCCTAGAATACTCTCTCATCCTCCACCCCCCACCTGCTTTAAAGCTGAAGTCTACACCTTCCTCAAAATGCAGCACAAATCAAATCCTTGACAATTCCAATGCATGAAGATCTCTTACATAAACTCCTATAGTACTTACTGTTAACATACTTGTGACATGGTTTATTGTTATTTGTTCATTCTTTATTCTAGCTCACATTAATATCAACTAGATTTTAGCGTCTGGAGGGCAGATACCTTGTGTCCTATTTCCTTATATGTCTAATAAATGTATCTTTATGTGTCTAATAAAAATGAGGATGGTCACCATTTACTGAATGCCAACGAGAGACAGACGATGCACAGGGTATACATTGTTACAAACCTTCATCACAAGCATGAAGTTACCCTTATCCCTGTTCACAGGCGAACAAACTGAGTCTTGTGGAGGGGCGGTAGCTGATCCAAGATCACTTAGCTAGGCAATGTAGACAAAGATTCAAACCATGTCTGTGTCACCCTAGAACCCATCTGTTTCCGTGATACCTCACACAGCCTGGACACAGTAGGCACTACATAAATCCTTGTGGCATAAATGACATCACTCAGGCAAAAGACGATAAGGTTGGTGGTAGTGTAAGGAAGTGATGGATGGGTGCAATTATGGTCAGAGAATCAACTGTTCGACTGCCCTGGGTATGGAGCACATGAGCCAAACACAATGGATTTGGAGCACTTGGGTACCACTGAGATCAGTGGAGATGTGGGGAAGGAGTATGTCTGGGGAGACACAATGAAAAGGTTGATCAACATCATATATCTTCATGGGAATTGTAATTCAAGCCATTGACAAGTCTGTACTTAGACTGGGGGAGGGGGAGGAGAAGTTAGGCCTTCTAGAGGATGTTCCTCTATGGTGATCAGCCTCTCTGATTCCTGTTGTGTACAGACGCGGAATTTCCTCTGGGTGCTGAAGCTCTACAGCAGAAAGGTGCCAGGGCCTGATTCATCTTGGGTTGGAAGGGCCTATAGTTGCTGCCTCATCAGATAACATCTCTGGAGCTTTGCAGGGCCCCTGTTCCCTCTGTGTAGCCCCTTGGTGGGATGGAGTAATGGAAAGACTCACCTGGGCAGAAGCCTACTGGCTCAGCCTTCCGTGGGGTGCGCGCCTGGCCTCCTCTGCAGGGAGCCTCAGCCTGTTCAGTGTGGGTGCCTTCCTCAGGCCTGGGGGCCTCGTGCCCTGGCAGAGAACAGGCTGCCTGAAGCTACCACAGATGGCACAGATGGACAGAGGTCCCCACTGGTGCTAGGAAGCAGGGGAGTTTGAAACCCCTGTCCCAGGCCCATCGGCAGGGACCATACCCAGCCCATGTCATACTGGCAGGGGCTGAACTCTCAGCTGCCCCAGGGCAGCCTTGGGCTCCTTCAAGCAGGGCAGCTGCTAATGCTGTGCAGGCTGCAAGGGCCACACTGTGAGAAGTTTCTGGAATATGTGTGTATAAGATAGTGGAGACAAGGAAGGGCCATGCCCTGAGGCTTACATGAGGCTCCTCAGAGGGCTGGGAACCTCCCAGCCACCAGATGGACCCCAGTTTCATGGCAAATCATTGAAGATCGGGATGTCAAAAAGCCAGGTACACCCCTTCCTTAGGTATCTTCTCCCAGCATCTGCTTAGCCACATCCCTCACCTCTTTCAAATCTTTCTCAAATCTTACCTTTCCAGTGAGGTGTTCTCACTACCTGTTTAGTCCTACAGCCTGCCCCACCCCACCTACAGTCGTCTCAGTCCCCCCTCCCCCACTTTATCCCCTCATAGCACACATCTTCTTCTGACACAGTTTTTAAGTGCACTTATTTCTATTGGTTGGTTGTTGACTGTCTGCCCTCACTAAGATTAAGCTTCTGGAGGTAGGGGGTCTTTGTCTATTTGGTCACTGGGGTATTCCAAGTAAGTAGAATGGCACTTGGCACTTAGCAGATGCTCATAAATACTTGATGAAGAAAGGAAGACTCCACACTGAGCCACCATTGACAGTCCCCACTTACCTGAACACATGCCCAGTGCTCTCTCTTCCGTGGGAGGGCACATCTGTTCCTGTGCATTATGGGACCCTTCCCCAGGCTCACTTTGGGGGGCCATCTCCGGCTGTCCCACAGAGAATCCTGTTCCAGGTAGAAGGATGGGTCCAAGTAAAGCATCAGTACAGAAGAGGTGATCAAAGGCAGGGGCTGTCCCCTTTCCCAGCCCAAGGGGCTTTCCCCAACCTGCTCTGGAAGGCAGGGTCTCTAGCCAGTATGTACAAGGACAGCCAGGCTCCCCAGCAGCCTGGGCAGATAGCAACCTCAGCCCCTTTGTGTTGAGTCAAGGACAGGTGAAGGAAGAGAGAGTAGATACGAATATCCTGGTGCTCATGAGGACACATGAGCACATACAGTCTAACGCAACCTCCAGCATGGGCCAGGCATTCACATACACCCTGATGAAACCAAAAAGGATGCTGCCCTAAAGGCCCTCCGGGGGTCTTAGGGTTTCAGTATCTGAGGATGGTTTTGCCTTCTTTATTGTAGAGAAGCAGCAGGCCCAGGAGGCTCCCCACCCCAAATTCCTTGCATTCTGCTGGCTCACCCAGGTTGCTGAGGGCCTCCAAGGTCTCTCTCATGACAACCCTGGGTAGCTCCTCCTGGGGCTCGGGACACAGCTCCTAAAGAGAAAATAAATCCTTGCCCAAGTTCTCCTCAGGGCAGCTTCCACCTGGGCCCTAGCTATGCCCAACCTCTTCCCATCAGCTATTCCCCAGGAGTGCCAAAGGTGACATTGGCAGATACAGGTGAGGGGAATGAGGGAAGGTGGATGTCAGATAGCAAAGAGATCTTCGAAGGTAGGCCATTTCTGCAAGCTCTGGTCCGCTCTGGAAGTCGGCTGCTCTGCCTCACCTGGCAGGTCAGCCCATCGGGGCTCCTGCCGGGGGGGAAGATGTCAGGGATCAAACAACTCTCTGGGGGAGAGGGTGCAGGGTGGGAGACCAGGGAACGACATCTCCTAGGACCCTCCAGCTGTCACTGCGGGAGCTGGTGAAACAGGAGCCAGCCGAGGGATGGAGGTGAGTGTCACTATTGGGCAACTGGTCGCGGAGGCTCTCAGAGGAGGGTCCTCACTGAAGGAAGGAGATGGCTCTTGCTTCGTCTCCCCAAAACCCTACCTCAATCCTGTGGCCCCTCCACCGCGGGGCTTCCCCGGGCTGGGCCCTCAGCCCTCACGGCCCCTTCCGCATCCTCCTCCATCGAGTGCCCTGTCCCTACCCCAGCAGACTCCCGCCCCCCAATCTCCCTGGCAGCTTTCCCTCTGCCCCCCCTTCTCCCACTCCTGCCTTCCGCCATCTCTCCTCTCCGAGTCTGGCTGGCTCCCCGGCTCCGCCCTCAGCCTCGCCCCTCGGGCTCCTCCCCCAGCCCGCAGCCCACAGCCCGACCTCTCCAGGCCCCTTCCTCCTCCCCCGCCCCCCAC